GCTCGGTCTCGGGCAAATAACGATAGTGCTGATCAAGCGTCCGAACAATTTGCAGCCAGCCTTGTTCACATCGAAGGTCAGCAATTGGAATGTTTTCGGTCGCTTTCCAAGCTTCGCCAGACAATCTTCCGAGGACTCGAGGACCGGCCAGGTGTTGTTGCTTGTCCTCAAGGGATGCAACACCAAGGATCAGCTTGCGTCTGAACTCACGATATCCGCTTGGCTTCCCATCGAAGTAGAGGTCTTTGAGAGTGTCTTTGTAGTCCATGGCTCAAACTGCCAACAACAAACAACAATGTTCCACAACCAACAATCAATGTCAATGCTCAACAATCAACGTCAACTCAACTTTGCACCACTGCACAAGCAATGTACCTAGATGGCACGAGCTGCTCTGCGGTTTGCACCGCACCCGGGATCAGGCCGGGACCTCACAAAGCAATCCTGGAGCTTGGCAGCTCCGCTACCATGTAAAATGGTGAGCGGAGGATCAACAGCAACTTGTAAAGGCAACTGTCACAACTCAACCAACGGGGATCAAAGAACTCCGTCACGATCAAAAGCAAGCGGTGCGCTCACTTTTCCATTGCGCAACCGTCGGGGGCTCGGATGAGCCAGACTCAAGGGCCCTTGTGCCAAAATGGTCACATGAGAGGGCCGCCATCTCATATCATGATATGCATGTTCCAATGCATACAAATTCACAGATATAGACTGAGGTGTTGATGTTGTTGGATGTCGCTGTATGCTGCCACTTGTTGACACAGATTCAACCCAGCCAAACTGACGTTGCCCTGTTTTTGTTTTTGAGCTGAGAAGGTGTGATTTTCTACTCGGGTGTGCGTTGTGGCAGTAGATGAGCTGGTCTGCCAGAGTGCAGCAGGTCGAGCCAGGCTCTGGGCTCAATCTCCGCTGCTCAATCGCGATTTTTGGTCAATTGGGATTGAGTCCTGGGACGAGGGCTCACCATGGCTCACCAGCCAGGTGCCACACAGGTTTCAAATCTTTCACCTCCTGCAAACTCATTCTGGACATAAGTTGACTGTTTTTGGCCCGTGTGCTATTTTACTTTTGCTTTCTGGTGTCAGGGTATGTCAGGCTCAGATATGGCCTGATGGCCTGGAATTCTAATGCCCACCAAGGTTCAACAGTGTATAAATAGACGTCACCAGTGGATGCTTCAATGGATAACATCTACTTTTGTGCAACATGTGCCAACTTTGCAAAGGCTTGCAGAACCACCGCAAGTGTATGCCGAAACATGTTGAAATGTGTTGAAATGCATAGAATTGCGTAGAGTAATATCCCGTTCATGAATGTTCATGATAGTTCATGTTTCATGATACTTCCTATGAAGCGTGTCTACATAGGATCATCACATTTGAAGACAAAAGTGGCATGATGTAGCCTGTACAAGGAAAAGAGGCTAATTTCAAAAGATGGTAAGATATACCAAGGTAAGGCATGGTAAGGCGTTAAGGCCAAGCGTGCATCTTCATACCCAAGAGCAACTGGACATTGCAGAAAAAGCGCACAGAAAGTTGCGGATGTGCGTGGATGCTTCATCGGCATGAACCATCATTAAACCACACTTCCATATGAAATTTGCTGAATCGTACGTACCCCCCCCCCCCGTCTAAAATGGCTAGCCATTTT